ACCCTCTCTTGCACTGCTGCTCCCTAGCTTCCCTGCAATAAAATTGAGCCACTTTTGTTGGGGAAGTGAGGATAATAATATATGAAATATATAAAATGAACCTTATAAAACTCATAGATATCAAAAGAAAAAAAATATGTATAAAATTAAGTTTAACAAAAAAATTTAGTTTCCACTTAATTTAACTGGCTCACCCTTAGGAGCAGTATGATTAATAACTACTTTTTAAAGGAAGAAAAACACCACCACTTTCAAAGCTTTCTTATAGAAATACTGCTTAACACTTGGACATAGTCCATAACCAAAATGATGGCCAACACCAATACTATCATGTAAAAAAAAGAAAAAGTGAAATAACTGAAGCAAATCAAAGAGGAATGCTTATCAAAATAGAAACTAACACAGATCTCTTAGACACTAAGAAAGTAGCTATGAACAAATTACATTTTTAAGGAAACTTCAGTAAAAACTATATTGAAAAATCATTCCCATAATGAAGAACACTAGTTGAGAATGGCAAATCATGCAATTAACCTGTCAGAGAGTTTCGAAATACTTAGAATAATCTTGTAGGTACACAAAACTCAAAATCGTATTTCGTATCATAGTTTTTACACTCCAGAATTTGTACAATACTTAAAATTTTACAAATGTCATTAATAAGGTAGCATTACATTCAAATTAATATGACCAATAATTCAAAAGCAACAGAATCCCAAAATGATTTTTACTTAACACAATGTTTATCACTATATTTAATTCATTATATCACTTATCACTATATTTAATTCACTAATATTCTGCTTACTATTTATCAATGTTCAAGAAAAAATGGTTTCTATTATAATATCCATATAAGGTTTTGATATTAAGGTTACGCTGGCATCATAAAACAAAATCCACCTTTTTATTCTCAGTAAGAGTTTCTATCTGATTAATGTTGTTTTTATCTTAGAAGTGTGAAAGAATTCACAGTGAAGCCACCTTGACCAGGAAATTTCTTTATGGAAAAATGTTAATTATAGACGCAGATTTTTTAAAAATATTTACTAAATTTCTCCAGGATTTTTTAATTCCTGCTATGAAAGTTTGGTTTCCTCGGGTTTTTCAAGAAATTTGTCACTTTCTCCTGTTTCTAAATTTAGTCTATTATATTGTTCCTCATATACTCTTATTATGTTAATATCCATGGGATCTCTATCCATCCTCTTACCTTTATTATCTTAATGTCCATGGGATCTCTACCCACACCCTTATTTCATACCTGGTAGTATGCTTTGTCTCCTCTTTTTTCATGATTGGTATTAGAAGTCTATTAATTTTATTAGCCTATTCAAATAATTATCTTTTGGCTCTGTTGACTTCCTCAGTTCTCACCTGCATATTCCCCTTCCTTCTTATATTTCTAGGGTTTAACTTGTTCTTTTCTAATTTCCAGAGACAGGTTTTCTTCTTTTCTAATATATGCAATTGAGGCTAGAAATTTTCCTCAAAGCACAGCATTACCTTAAACCCACATGATTTTAAATGTTAATTTTCACTGAATTCCCATTTGGTAATTTTCATTATGATTTCATCTCTGACTAATGGATTATTCAGAAATACATTTGTAAATTCCAAAACCTTGAGAATTATATGGCTATTTTAAAATTCATTTCTAACTTAATTCCACTGTGTTCAGGAAGACAAAATGAATTTAATCATCTAACATTTTCTGAAATTTGTTTAATGGCTCAGCATGTGTCAATTTGGTAAATGTTCCATGTGTACTTGGATATATATCTGGACTTAACAGTTACTACCATGACAGTAGCCTATATCAAAATTAACCTCTTCATGCCAAACACAACGATAAAAGTTATACAAACTATATAACTGAATTGTCTAAAGATACTGGAAAGCAACCAAATAGGTGGGATTTGAGGAACTACAATTCCTGAGAAAAGGGAAGGATAACATGAGATCTACATTCACCCCAGAAGTTTTCCCTGAAGACATTTCAAATTCACAATGCCGGTGAAGTGAGTCCTTGCAGAAACCAGCAGTCCTGTCTGGCTGAGACAGATATTGCAGTTCAATGAGTCTAAAACAACTGAGATTTCAAGGGCAAAAATCATGGAGAGGCAGGAACTGCAGGAAAGTAAGCCCAAAAAATCTGTATTTAACCTTCCCTTAGGAGTCTACTAAGCCTGCATACACACGGCAAGACTCCAAGATACCCAGCAAAGAGCAGCAGCTGGGATGCTAATGAGTTAAGCAGATAATATAGCAACTGTAGAGTGCTGAGGAATTAAGAAATGTAGTAGTCGTGGTAAACACCGCAGATTTTCAGTTAAGACACAAAAGGAATAAGGACAAAACTGAAACATATCAATTTTAATAAAACCTCAAACCAACCCTTAAAGAATTAAGGTGACCTGCTTAAACACTACCTCCTTGCTGGAAGAAAAAAACAATATTTTTGAAAGGAGCCTCTATAATTTTAAATACACCATGTTAAACATTCAATTAAATATTATGAGGCAGGCATGCTAAAAACAAACAAAAACAGGGTCAAATAACTAAAAACTCCCCAAAAAATGTTTTTAACATTTAATAACTAAAAACTCCCCAAAAAATGTTTTTAAAGAAACAAACCAACAGGTAGTTTAGATATTTTACTTTTCACATACAGACTTTTCAAACTAGTTATTATTAATATATCTAAGACAATGTGGATAGGATACACAGATTAGTGGACTAGAAGACATGTTAGTAAAAAGGTTTCCAGGTTAAAAAAAAAAAAAGTTTCCGGTTGAAGCATCAAAGGAAAAAAAATGGAAAAGAATAAGCGTATTTTTACACATATCCATTATGTCAAGTTCATTAATGACTTTGTTCACATATCTTACATCTTGATTTTTGTTTGCTTATACTGCCAATTTTGAGACAGTTATATTAAAATCTCCTAGTATGAGTACAGATTTTTTCATTTTTCCTTCTGATTGTGTCAGTTTTTGCTTTATTATCTTAAAGATGTGTGACATACATATAAATTTGGACTTCTTTTCCAATTCTGCTGAAATACACCTTTATTTTCTTTTAAGATCCTATTTATTTGGGATCCCTGAGTGGCTCAGCGGTTTAGCGCCTGACTTCGGCCGAGGGTGTGATCCTGGAGTCCCGGGATCGAGTCCCGCGTTGGGCTCCCTGCGAAGAGCCTGCTTTCTCCCTCTGCCTATGTCTCTGCCTCTCTCTCTCTCTCTCTCTCTCTCTCTCTGTCTCTCATAAATAAATAAAATCTTTTTTAAAAATCTAAAAAAAAAAAAAAGGTCTCCCTCTTCAACTAAATCAACAGAAGTAGTTGGAAGAAGAATGGACCCCCTATCTAACCAAACTCGTCCAGACAAATTAAATCAGTGTTTTTGAGCAAGGATTAAAGCTGTTACAAGGGATGCCTAATCACTTTCTGTTCCCACCACCAATGAGCAGTCCCCCCTCCACGACTGTGACCTCTATGTAGATGGTGCCCTATATACAAGGGCACCTGGCTAAGACAGTAAATAAGAGCTAAGATCCTGCCAGGCTCCACCCACCAAGCCGAGTTTATTGATGTATGGCTGTGTCTACCCAGACAATGTGACTCCTTTTTCTTGTATCAATTGTACCAAGGCACCTTGTATGGGCTAGAGGCAGTTCTGATCGTTCTTCTACCATATTCCTGTCCTACCCAGGATTATATTCCTCACCTCAGATGGACTGAAGATTCTCATGAACACATTAGATTTATTGTAAAAGATGAAATATTTGACACAAAATGAAATTAATTTCATAGGTAAACTCCAAATATTACTATAGATATGAATTATGTTTATGTGTATTTATATACATATAAATATACAGTTACATGGATACACATTTCTATATATCAGAAGTTAGCACAACTTAAACTTAGTTTAAAAAATAAAATAAATAAAAATTAAAAAATTAAAAATTAAAAAATTACGCTGGATTTCTATATAAAAATACTATATGAAGGAAATTTTGTTTTACATTAGACAATCCGTTTTGGTTTTTTATATTCTAAGTTCAGACATTTTTGAGTTAAGAGAGAAAATGCCTATGCCCCCATAAGAGATCTGGTTATCTGCTATATTCTTGTTGTCATTACTTCTGTTTTTGATTAATAAGAATCATAGTCTCTGGTTGTTCCTTCATGGTACCCATCCTCCCCATTATATCAGGATTTATTTTCCCAAATCAAGGCTGATACTATCCAATCTCTTCTTAAAATTTCTTCCTATGATCTCTGCTTTTCTACTGTATACTCCAGGTTTTATATAATAAAGTACAAACACCACTGGTGTCAAAGTCCATGAAGGAAATTCTTATGTGATAAACAGGCCCTCAGAATAACAGTCCAATTTATTTGTGCCCTTTAATTATTTTGATGATATAGAAAACAAATGTGTAAGCAAAGATAAACAGAGTATCACTGTAGTACCAAAATAATATTCAAATATTAATGACATTAAGTGGTGACATGCTATTGCCTAGAGAATGAATTAGTGATCAGTTTTTCTCTACTTTAAGTCAAAAGACTCATAAAGGATCTTATAAATGAACTGACAAAAGAATGATTCTCTTAAAGTTTACACCGGGCAAACCTGAGACTAGAATGATCTGCCTAAGCTTTTATACAGTTTCTAAGATTATCTTATTATTTTAAGGTCATTTTAAGGTACATTAATATTATATAAACTCTATATGCTTCCCCCTGTCTACTACATAAAAAGATTGATTCAAAGTCACTTGCCATTTTGGGGGCACCTGGGTGGCATAGTCAGTTAAGTGTCTGACTCTTGACTTCGGCTCAGGTCATGATCTCAGAATTGTGAGATCAAACTCCACTTCAGGCTCATGCTGGGCATGGAACCTGCTTAAGATTCTCTCTCTCTCTCTCTCTCTCTCTCTCTTTCTCCTTCTGCCCTTCCCCCTCCATTAAAGAAAAGGTCACTTGCCATTTTTGCGAGAAGTCTTCTGCACTGTCATTGGTGGGCACAACTGAGCAGATGCTACATCTGAAGCAGCAGGAGAGCCTGTATGATGAGCCTTTACCTTGTCAGCCCAGCTGACACCTGTATGAGCCAGACGGGGAGCAGTCACTGTGCCAGATGAACCCCTATGAAGAAAGTTCCACATTAATAAATCAAACATAAAAGTTAAAATTTTTTTAATTTAAGTATATACTTAATATTATTCTGGTCTCTATTTACTTCTGATTTTTCTGTTACTTCCTTCCTCTACTAAATTTCAGCTAAGGTTCTTCTTTTTCCAGTTCCTTGTGGTATAATGTTATTTATTTCAACTATTTTTCTTAATACAAGCATTGATAGCCTAAATTTCACTCTAACATCTGCTTTTGTCACATCCCATAGGTTTTAGAATATTGTGTTTTCTTTCTTTTTTTGAGATATATTTTGATTTGCTGTTTGATTTCTTATTTGGCCCACTGCCTGTGCAGCAGTGTGTTAATACTTATATACTAAGAATTTAATATTTACATCGTAAAAAATTTGAAAAAAATTGAAAAAGTGAAAAAATATAATACTATGAAATATGCAGCCAATAAAAGAAATAGAATATGCATGATAAAAAAAAAAGAACTTGGAATGTTTCCAAATAAAAAAGCAGTGTGACATTTTATTCCCCACTAGTTTGGTTATATAAAAGTCACTTTTTAATCACTGTTATTTACAACATGATTAAATATATTTAACACAATTCAAACTTGTTTAACTTTCAAAAAAAAGTTAAATTCTTAAATATATAATTAATATATAGATTTACTTTAAATATCTTGTCTGTGTGTATATCCACATATACAGAGTACTATATTACCATAGCAATTTAAATCAAATATAATCATAAATTTATGTTGGTCTAATACTTCATTAACCTAAGATAGTATAATATATTATATGGAAACGGGGATAATATAAAAACTCTCACTCAGTTTAAAAGAAAACTTCAGTTAAATGGGGAACCGTAAAAGATATACATATATGCCTTAAACATTTTAATTTAAAACTCCTATCTTTTAATACTATAAACGTACATTAATTTGTCAATTTATTGACATTGACATTACCAAAACAGGCTTTTCTCTTCTTGTACATTTCTTACATGAACCACAAGTATAATGCATCATTGGCAACATCCAATTTTGATTTCTTTAAAATGAAGTGAGAATTTAGTGACACCTATTAAACATTCCAAGTATATAAACTCAACTTTAACAATATTTTCCCCAATCTTTCACATCCACTCCTCACATGACAGCAAAATTTTAAGTCACCTTTATCTATCTTTCTTTCTTTTCTAAGAACTTGTCTAAGTTTTCACAAAAACAGTAAACTTATATTTAACTGGTTTACTTAATATTTAAATTCTGAGTTAAAATAATAAAGACAATTTGAAGTAAACAAGCAGGATGACCACATATTCTAAGTAAACACTTAACCAGTAAGAGAAAAATGAGTAGATATATTAAACGTAGCCTATGAACCACAATTTTTCAGCACACTGAAAAAAAATGTAGGTTTTACAATGATGATAAATACCATTTAATCTAACAATATGATTAGATGAAGATCAACACAAGAACTTTAACCATGCATGCATTAAAGGCTTCCAATGTTAAAACAAAACATGCAATATACAACATTCTAAAACACAGATCAATAGAATACATTATATAAGTACATCCCTTAAAATGGTGCTTAAATATACAAATATTTGGTTTTGTTTGCTTATATATCTTTCTCCTATTCTACTAAAGTACAATTATGTTAAGGTTCCAAAGTCCATCAACCTTCACCAAACGCAATACTATCCAATAATCTCTGTTGAAAGCAAAATTTTGGCTCTACTCAGTAACCTTACTGAGCTCTAAGTGCGAGGTACAATGTTAGGTACTTGCAATGCAGAAGATAGGACAAAGATACTGCATTAAAGAAGATCAGAGGGATCCCTGGGTGGCGCAGCGGTTTGGCGCCTGCCTTTGGCCCAGGGCGCGATCCTGGAGACCCGGGATCGAATCCCACATCAGGCTCCCGGTGCATGGAGCCTGCTTCTCCCTCTGCCTGTGTCTCTGCCTCTCTCTCTCTGTGACTATCATAAATAAATAAAAATTAAAAAAAAAAAAAAAAAAAAAAAAATAAAGAAGATCAGAGTGTAAGTACAAAAAAAGAAACATTAAAAAAGGTTGTAATACACTGCAAATGCAATAATAATACAAGTGGATGCAGGGTTCAGTAACAAGAGATGAAAATGACTATGGCATGGTCAGGGAGGGGATAAAAAGCAGTTTAGAAAGGTTAGGTTTTAACACAGGAAAGAGAATTGACCAAACTACTTACCACCCCTCCTATTACACATCCAATGTTAACACTCACTCTAAAGAATTAAGAGTCCAAACAAAACTTTGTCTTAAAAACAAATTTCCCCAGGGACATTTTCAGGAAAACAACAGTGATGACTGTTTAACATTATCAGAGGTGGTAATAACATTTAGGGCCACAAGGGGCTGACCAAAAACTTGAAAGAAAATCTGGAGAGTGGAATGGCACAGGAGGCTTTGAAAAGCTCCTACATGTTCCTGGAAATCAAGAAGGCCACATTTATGTACAGAGTTCTGTGCATGCTCTGGAAAGTTCTGAGAATGCCCTAACATCTCACTTGTGATTAAGCCTGAGGCTCTGAGGAAGCAGGAAGTGAATGCCAGAGCACTGAAGGTATGTACAACACATACACAGAACCAGACAAAGCCTAGGACATTTGCTAATTCAAGACATTTAAGACACCTCTGTCAAATCAAGCAGAAACTACACATGACAAAGAAAACAGACTTCAGAAAACTAGTTCAAGAGAGTTCTTGAACAAACAGTACCAGCATCACCGCCACCAAACAGCCACAACAACAAATCCTAAAGAGGTAGCAATCTGATCTCCAAAGCTGCCACCATTATTTAAAATATCCAATTACGGAGGCAGCCCAGGTGGCTCAGCAGTTTAGCACAGCCTTCAGCCCAGGGCCTAATCCTGGAGACCCAGGATCAAGTTCCACGTTAGGCTCCCCGCATGGAGCCGGCTTCTCCCTCTGTCTGTGTCTCTGCCTCTCTCTCCCTCTCTCTCTCTCTCTCTGTGTCTCTCATGAATAAATAAATAAAATCTTTTTTAAAATAAATAAAAAAAAATAAAATAAAATATCCAGTTACAATAAAAAAAGTCACAAGACATACAAATAAACAGGATGGTATGATCCATTCATACACACCTAAAAAAAGAGTAATTGAAACTGTCCTCAAGGAAACCGAGACACTGGGCTTAATAGACTTTAAATCAGGTACTATAATTATCTTCAAAGAATACTGAAGAACAAAAGAAAATTGTGTCTAAAAAACTAAAGTATGCAAAAAAAATGCTTCACCAACTATAGTATCAATAAAGAGAAAGTAAATAAAAAAGTACTACAAAGATATTCTGGAGTTGAAAAATATAGTAACTGCAATGAAAAATTCACCAGAGAGACTCAACAGCAGATTTGAGCCAGCAAAATAAAGAATAGGCAACCTTGAAAAGAGGACAATTAAGATTATCTGAGAAACAGGATGAAAAAAAGAATGCAGAAAAATGAATAGAGCCTCAAAGACCTGTGGAACACTGTCACAAGTACCAACATAGGTAAAGTGGGATTCCCAGGAAAGAGAAGGGTGCAAAAAGGGTATCTGCAGAAATGAACAAAAACTTCCCATATTTGATGAAAAACAGTCATCTATACATCCAAAAAGTCCAATGAACTTCAAATAGAATATACTCAGAAGTCGACACCTAGATACATCACAAACTATCCAAAGACAAAGAGAAAATCATGAAAGCAGCAAGAGATAAGTGAGGCATTTCAAAATGGATCCCTAGCAAGAATGACAGATGCTTTCTCATCAGAAACCATTAAGTCAAAACCTAACCAAAGAGGTAAAGGATCTATACCCTAAAAACTATAGAACACTTCTGAAAGAAATTGAGGAAGACACAAAGAGATGGAAAAATATTCCATGCTCCTGGATTGGCAGAATTAATATTGTGAAAATGTCAATGTTACCCAGGACAATTTACACGTTTAATGCAATCCCTATCAAAATACCATGGACTTTCTTCAGAGACTTAGAACAAATTATTTTAAGATTTGTGTGGAATCAGAAAAGACCCCGAATAGCCAGGGGAATCTTTAAAAAGAAAACCATAGCTGGGGGCATCACAATGCCAGATTTCAGGTTGTACTACAAAGCTGTGGTCATCAAGACAGTGTGGTACTGGCACAAAAACAGAAACATAGATCAATGGAACAGAATAGAGAACCCAGAAGTGGACCCTGAACTTTATGGTCAACTAATATTCGATAAAGGAGGAAAGACTATCCACTGGAAGAAAGACAGTCTCTTCAATAAATGGTGCTGGGAAAATTGGACATCCACATGCAGAAGAATGAAACTAGACCACTCTCTTGCACCATACACAAAGATAAACTCAAAATGGATGAAAGATCTAAATGTGAGACAAGATTCCATCAAAATCCTAGAGGAGAACACAGGCAACACCCTTTTTGAACTTGGCCACAGTAACTTCTTGCAAGATACATCCACGAAGGCAAAAGAAACAAAAGCAAAAATGAACTATTGGGACTTCATCAAGATAAGAAGCTTTTGCACAGCAAAGGATACAGCCAACAAAACTCAAAGACAACCTACAGAATGGGAGAAGATATTTGCAAATAACATATCAGATAAAGGGCTAGTTTCTAAAATCTATAAAGAACTTATTAAACTCAACAGCAAAGAAACAAACAATCCAATCATGAAATGGGCAAAAGACATGAAGAGAAATCTCACAGAGGAAGACATAGACATGGCCAACATGCACGTGAGAAAATGCTCTGCATCACTTGCCATCAGGGAAATACAAATCAAAACCACAATGAGATACCACCTCACACCAGTCAGAATGGGGAAAATTAACAAGGCAGGAAACAACAAATGTTGAAGAGGATGCGGAGAAAAGGGAACCCTCTTACACTGTTGGTGGGAATGTGAACTGGTGCAGCCACTCTGGAAAACTGTGTGGAGGTTCCTCAAAGAATTAAAAATAGACCTGCCCTACGACCCAGCAATTGCACTGTTAGGGATTTACCCCAAAGATTCAGATGCAATGAAACGTCGGGACACCTGCACCCCGATGTTTCTAGCAGCAATGTCCACAATAGCCAAACTGTGGAAGGAGCCTCGGTGTCCATCGAAAGATGAATGGATAAAGAAGATGTGGTTTATGTAAACAATGGAATATTACTCAGCCATTAGAAACGACAAATACCCACCATTTGCTTCAACGCGGATGGAACTGGAGGGTATTATGCTGAGTGAAGTAAGTCAATCGGAGGACAAACAGGGTATGTTCTCATTCATTTGGGGAATATGAATAATAGTGAAAGGGAATATAAGGGAAGGGAAAAGAAATGTGTGGGAAATATCACAAAGGGAGACAGAACATAAAGACTCCTAACTCTGGGAAATGAACTAGGGGTGGTGGAAGGGGAGGAGGGCGGGGGGTGTGGGGGTGAATGGGTGACGGGCACTGAAGGAGACACTTGACGGGATGAGCACTGGGTGTTATTCTGTATGTTGGTAAATCAAACACCAATAAAAATTAATTTATTAAAAAAAATTAAATTAAATTAAATTTAAAAAAAGAAACCATTAAGTCAAAAAAAAAAAAAAAAGAGAGAGAGAGAAACCATTAAGTCAGAAGGAAGCCTGGATGGTGCAGTCAGTCAAGTATCCAACTCTTGGTTTCACCTCAGGTCATGATCTCAGTCATGAGATCAAGCCCCAAGTCCGACTCTGCGCTCAGCACAGAGTCTGCTTGGGATTCTCATTCTGCCCTTCCCAGTCGTTCTCTCCCTCGCTCTCTCTCTCAAAAAATAAATCTTTAAAAAAAATTAAAAATTTAAAACATAAAGAAGGAGGTGAGAGGACATATTCAAAGTTGGAAAGAAAAAGACTTTCAACCAAGAATTCTGTCTACTACAAAATTATCCTTCAAAACTGAAGGACAGGGATCCCTGGGTGGCACAGCGGTTTGGCACCTGCCTTTGGCCCAGGGCGCGATCCTGGAGACCCGGGATCGAATCCCACGTCGGGCTCCCGGTGCATGGAGCCTGCTTCTCCCTCTGCCTGTGTCTCTGCCTCTCTCTCTCTCTCTCTGTGTGACTATCATAAATAAAAATAAATAAATAAATAAATAAATAAATAAATAAATAAATAAATAAATAAATAAATAAGTTATTTAAAAAAATTAAAAAAAAAACTGAAGGACAAATTAATATATTCTCAGAAAAACAAAAACTGAGAAAAACTGTCAGTAGCAGACCTGCCCAACAAGATTCTAAAGGGAGTCCTTCAGGCCAAAATGAGAGGACACTAAACAATAACTTGAATCCACATGAAGATATAAGGACCACTAATAAAAATAACTACATAGGTAATACAAAATAATTTCTAAATGTATTTTTTGTTTATAACTTTTTTCTAGATATCTGATTTAAAATATAACTGCATTAAAACAATAATTATAAAACTGCACTGATGGGATTACAATGTATAAAGATAAAATTTTCATGACAGTAATACAGTTTATGATATATATTTAGATCTTTTGTTGTAAAAGAAATTGTCAGTTCATGTTACGAATCATTTAGTATGAATATGTTTATGGGTTTTAATTTTTGGATCCTAATTATAGTTGATATTACATTTCCTAAAAGTTAAACTTTACTGTCCTGGATTTCTTTTAACATTTTAATCAAATAATTTTGAATTCATACACAAACATATACAAGGTTTTTTTTATACTAGTATATCAGTTTTATTATCCACAGAAAATAATTTACTGTAATGCAAGCCTTAGCAGGCTTTTTTACGTTCATCTCACCCAAAATTTAAGCTTCTTCGAGCATTTGATGTTACACTTATTCTATCTGTCGATGGACTTGGAATCACATGACGTCCCGGAGACATCTTCTTCACCTCCCAAGCCAAAGAAGTTGGTCTGTCAATTCAAGACATATGACAGATTAAATCAACAGAGAAAAAAGAGAAAAACCTAATCTTTTCTTTTGGTTGCTAGTGGGTGAAAACATAATCAGGTCACAATTTTTCCCTAGAGCACTGTTCACCAGAAAGTTACCATATTACCCAGTAAGCAACACAGATGATGCATGGTCTGGGATTTTTCATCCACAGCACAGCAACATAACCCTACTTATCTAAAAAGGCCACGAGTTTACAAAGACAAAGCATATAATGCTTATATTTTAAAAGCCTCTACCTAAAAACATATTAAAAAGACAATGGTACTAATTCAGGCTACTTCTACAACTCAACCTGTGCTGTCCTGGAAAACCAAGTGTGTAGAAGAGAGATCAAGAAGAAAAACAGTTGTTGAGAGTTAAATGAAGAACACACAGGAAAATCTGAAGTCTCCTTTCCTCTACATGAGAGTGGGAGTATAAACATTTCCTTGCTCTTTGCTGGGAAAGCCTAGTTCTCCTTCATTGGCCCCAGAACCTTGACAGGATGCTCAAAATGTTTTTCTCAAGCAGCATTTTCTCTATGCCTAATGGCCTCAGGTGACCCTCCATAACTCCCTCAGAATCTCCTTCCCTATTACTCTCCATTCAATCAGTGGCTGTGATTTTTTTCTCACATTTAGAAGTGGTATTTGTTGGTGCACCCGCATGGCTCAATTAAACATTCAACTCTTGATTTTGGCTTGGGTCATGATTTCAGCTCAGCATGGAGCCTGCTTGAGATTCTCTCTCCCCCTCTTCTCTGCCCCTCCTCAAACTCTCTCTCTCTCTAAAAACAAAGTGACATTTCTTGTTAGAAAATTCAGTCAGATAAAAGATTATCCAAATAAAGTCTAAAGCTTTTGACAATTTATTATCAAATCACCTTTCAGAAAGCTTGTGACAAATTATAGTTCTACCAAATGAAAAGTGCCCATTTACCTTCAAACTTGCCAACAGTGATGATCTTGTTTTAAAAATTTTAATGGCTTGTGAAAAATATGGCACTGGTTGCAAAGTCTAGAATAATTACTACCTGGCACTTTACAGGAAAAGTTTGCTGACTCCTATGCTAGAATTTCAGTCTTATGAGGAATGCTTCTTCTTTTTAAAAAATATTTATTTATTTAGGAGTAGGGGAAGAGCCCAATTGGGGGCGGGACAGAGGGGGCGGGGGGTGGAGAGAATATCTCAAGTCACGAGTTCTTTTCCATACAGAAATTTTGATAACAGTATCTTTGAATTCATTAGCAAATTATGTTTGTTTTTAAAATTATATATTTTTATTATCATTACTAGTGAGGCTGAACTTTTTTTACCAGCCATTTAAATGTCTCCTTTTGGGGGGGGTGCCTGAGTGGTTCCATGGGTTCAGTATCCAACTCTTTTTTTTTTTTAATTTATTTATTTATGATAGTCACACACACACACAGAGAGAGAGAGAGAGAGAGAGGCAGAGACACAGGCAGAGGGAGAAGCAGGCTCCATGCACTGGGAGCCCGATGTGGGATTCGATCCCGGGTCTCCAGGATCGCGCCCTGGGCCAAAGGCAGGCGCCAAACCGCTGCGCCACCCAGGGATCCCTCAGTATCCAACTCTTGATTTCAGCTCAAGTCATAATCTCAGGGTACTGAGACTGAACTCTGAGTCGGGCTCCATGCCCTCTGTAGTGCCTGCTTCTCTCCCTCTCCTTCCGCCCCTCCTCCTGCTTATACACACTCTCTTTCTCAAACAAATAAATCTTTTAAAATTTACCCCAAAGGTACAGATGCAGTAAAAAGCCGGGACACCTGCACCCCGATGTTTATAGCAACAATGTCCACAATAGCCAAACTGTGGAAGGAGCCTCGATGTCCATCAAAAGATGAATGGATAAAGAAGCTGTTGTCTACGTATATACAATGGAATATTCCTCAGCCATTAGAAACGACAAATACCCACCATTTGCTTCAACGTGGATGGAACTGGAGGGTATTATGCTGAGTGAAGTAAGTCAATCGGAGAAGGACAAACATTATATGTTCTCATTCATTTGGGAAATATAAATAATAGTGAAAGGGAATAGAAGGGAAGGGAGAAGAAGTGTGTGGGAAATATCAGAAAGGGAGACAGAATATAAAGACTTCTACTCTGGGAAACGAACTAGGGGTGGTGGAAGGAGAGGAGGGTGGGGGGTGGGGGTGAATGGGTGACGGGCACTGAGGGGGGCACTTGACGGGATGAGCACTGGGTGTTATACTACATGTTGGCAAATTGAACTCGAATAAAAAAAATAAAATAAAAAATAAAATTTTTAAAAATGTATAAAATAAAAAATAAATTTCTTCTTTGGGATTTGTGTGTTGGTATCTTTCGCAACATTTTCTAATTGATTTGAAATCATTTACTACTACTATTATTATTACTATTATGGCTACATATCCTTAGCATAGATGACATAACTTTAAATTTTAATTTTTTATATAGAAAGGCATATTTTATTCCTATGAAATCAAGCCTATTAATGCTTTCCTTTGTGGTTTCTGCCTTTGTCTTGTAAAGCACTTACCCATAATAAAAATATATAAATATTTATCTATATTTTCTTTTCTATGTACAATTACAGTTCTTACATGTGAATCTCAAATGAAACTTTATTAGAGAGAGAGAGAGAGAGAGAGAGAGAGAGGCAGAGACACAGGCAGAGGGAGAAGCAGGCTCCATGCAGGGAGCCCGACGTGGGACTCGATCTCGGGTCTCCAGGATCATGCCCTGGGCTGAAGGTGGTGCTAAACTGCTGAGCCACGGGGACTGCCCTCAAATGAAATTTTTTTTTAAAGATTTTATTTATTTATTTGAGGGAGAGAGGGAGAGCGCACGAGCAGGGTAGGGCCAAATGGAGAAGCAGACTCCTTACAGAGCAGGGAGCCCAACACAAGGCTCAATTCCAGGCCCCTGGGATCATGACCTGAGCTGAAGGCACTTAATGGACTGGGCCACCCAGATACCCCTCAAATGAATTTTGATGCATGATTTGAGGAATGTAAGATGAATAATGCCACCTACAGGGAATTTAAGGTTGCTTCTAGATCTAGGGAGCTGTCTCAAGAAGCAAAGAGTAGATAATAAGCTGGTTAAGATAAACAGAGATGTCTCAGGTATGTTTCTGAACCATGGTACTAGGACAGACTTAACTTTGGACTTGGCCTCAGAATCTTTCTTAATACAATTCTCAACACACCCATCACTACCTGATTGGAATTTATAAGCAAGCAAAAAAAAAAAATCTAGCTTTTTCTGTATTGGTAGTTATAGACCCTTTTGGATATAAGAAACAGAAACTCAATCAAGATAAATTTAAATAGAAAAAGAAAAAATATTTCTCTAAGGATATAAACTATATAAGGTCAAGGACATTCAAAGTAATGAGCACCGGGTATTATATGCAACTAATGAATCACTAAATCCTACCTCTGACACTAAAAGAAGAAGAGACGAAAAATATAAAATTAAATTAAATTAAATTAAATTAAAATATAAAATAAAATAAAATAAAATAAAATAAAATAAAATAAAATAAAATAAAATAAAATAAGAGACGAAACAAAACAAAGGAAACAGATGGCTATTAGGGGGGAGTGAAGAGGTGAAACAGGTGAAGGGGAATAAGGTATACTATTATGATGAGCATGGAGTAATGTATATAATTGCTGAATCACTATATTGCACACCTGAAACTGATATAACACTGTGTGTTAATTACACTGGAATTTAAAAACATTTTTTTCATTATGAGAAACAAAAATGTTAAAAGGATCAACGTATGATTTTCCTGGATTCAGTTTTCTGGGTATCAAGCCTTCCTAGATTTGTCTCTTGAGATTCTTTCACTCTCCTGGTTCCCCATGGGGCTGATACAGATAGGGACAAAAAACATGTTCTGTACTGGACGATTCCATTTACAGAAATTTAATTACAATTAAATCCAAGGGAAAGAGGCAATATAGGCCTGTTTTCTCTGAGTCAAAAGTATGATTATAGCTTCTTGTGACTTGGCCTAGTCCACAAAGGCTCAGGTTTCACTTATAAGCTTAACTGAATAATAAATTGTTCCTCTGCCTTTTGCACATAACCAAAGTAACACTAAGTCTAGCTGATCACCTATCTCTGGAATATCTCTCAACTCTCCTTGTTGCTACTACTCCAGTCTGAGTAGCCATAATCTATAAACTATATTGCTGTACCTTATCTTCCCACAGTACAGCCAGGAAGATCTTTTAAAATCACAAATTTGATATGTAACTTCCTTACTTAAAAATCTTTTATGGCTCAAAATAAAGTCTAAAGTTTTTACAATATCCACAGAGCCCTACATATTCTAGTCCCAGCCTACTTCTCTAGCCTTACCTCATGCTACTTTTCCCCTTGTTCTCTCCATTCCAGTCCCGTTAAACTCTAAATTCCTTGACTATACTGTACTCTCTTCTACTTCCAGGTTATCACATATACTACTGCCTCTACATGAGGTTACTCTTTTATTCTCTGTCATGCCAACTCCTATTTGATATTTCTGTCTCACTTAAATATGACCTCCTTGGGGAAGCCTTCCTGGATTCAGCAAATTGGTTAATGCTACTTTTTATATTCCCAAAGTATTTTAGGATGACTGTATTTTGATGACACTTTGTACACTGATAATTATTGAACATCAATTTTTCCCATAAATGCACTATATACCTCATGAGGACAGGGGCTGTGTCTGTTTCCTTCTCCACAACAGTCCTAGAGCTTGGTGCATAGGCTCAGATATTGTGCAGTGATTTCAAACGAAGGATTCTTGAAACAAATGAACATGGCGGTGGGGGGGGGGGAGGGCCAGGGGAAGAGGCAAACCATAAAACAGACTCTAAACTATAGAGAACTGAGGGTTGCTAGAGGGAAGCTAGGTAGGGGGATGGGTTAAATGAGTGATAAGTATTAAGGAGGGCACTTGTGATGAGCACTGGGTATTATATGTAAGTGATGAATCACTAAATTCTACTCTTGAAGGGGCACCTGGGTGGCTGAGTTGGTTAGGTATCTACCTTCGCTCCAGTCATGATCCCAGGGTCCTGGGATCAAGCCCTGCAAAGGGCTCCCTGCTCCATAGGGGGCCTGCTTCTCCGCTCCCTCTGCCTGCTACTCCCCCATACTTGTGTGCTCTGTCTCTGTCCAATAAATAAACTCTTTAAATAAAATAAAATAAATAATAAAGTCTACTCCTGAAACACTACACTATATGTTAACTAAATAAATTTAAATAAAAACTTGAAACAAAAAAAATGTTTCTAAAATAACTTTGATCTCTCATTACTCCCCAATCAAAAATCATCTATTTTTCTCATTGCCTACTACCTTAAGAAAAAACACTATTCCTTTCCCTAACTTATTTTCCCTTCACACATGCTCTGTACTTCAATAGCTGTCTTAACTTATTATCTTCATCTAAAAGGCCAACCACTTGTTTAAATCCATCACATCTTTAAACGTTTCTTCTACATCCTCCATGAAATCTTTCCTGAACTGTCCTCTACAAAAGAAGATGATCCTGTCCTACTCTAACACCTGCAATATTTTTTTGTGTGATAAGTGCTATTTTATCCCACCCTTAGACTACAAAGTCATGAGAGTAGTAAATAATATCCTATTCAGCAATTAAATCTCTGTGCTAGATAAAAGTGTCCTGCACTAGTATTTGTAACTGAACTGAATGAGAAATACAGTTCCAAACTTGCAGATCTGTACAAGTTCCAAGTTAAACTTAGGTCAAATTCATCGTCAGTTTCAATTGCTTTTTCAAAGTGCTGGCTGCTATAAAGACCAGAGTTCATTACCTGCTTTGAGCATCTGTCTTCTCTAGCTTTTCCTGAAGTTGAATCCAGTCAATCAATGCTTTGAAATCTCTTACATAGTTATCCAGCATCATTAGCACCTCCTAATTAAAACAAACAACAATCATTAAATTCCATTCTGAGAAAAGTTTTAAGAACAAACTTCAGACTCAAGGACTTAGGAATTAATAATTTTTACATTATACGCCTCATTATACGTTTTATGGTTTATGGTTTATGGCAACAAAACCTACTGAACTATTAGTTTTTTGTATGTATCTTGTTTTATTTTTACTCTCACTGTGCAGGAAGAAGTTAGTAAAGCTGAGAGTTTAGAGGTCAAGAGATGGTACTGATATGCCTTCTCAAGATCCCTCTCAAATGACCATTCTTTTAACCTTTTCTTATAATTAAGTTTGATAAAAAGTAAAACGCATTAAACAAATGTACAGATTAATTATTCCAAAGCAAAAACCATGCATCAAACCACCCAGAAAAATGCTAATTTCCAAAAGGTACCTGGTACTGCGTCCTAATCACTACTCTAATCTTGCTCCAAGGCAACCACTGCTTTGACTTCTGATAGATTAATATTACCTGACTTTGAAATTCATATAAATGAAATCAAGGTATTTATTATTTTGTGACTTTTTGTTCTTTTGTTTACTAGGTTCATCCATATTGCAGAATGAACCTGCAATTCATTTACTGTCATTCTCTAAGGTCACTACTGAAGAGTATTTTATTGAAAGCATATTTATTCAATCTACAGTTTAAGAACATTGAGATGATTTTCAAATTATATGCTGTTATTCATGTACATGTCCTCTGCATGTATGTATGCATTTCTGTTGAGAATAAGCCCAAGAATGGCATTCTGAGTCACAGGATGAGTATATGTTCTACTCTAATATATAATACCAAACTGTTTTCTGAAATAGTTGCCCTCCCCACCAGCAGTGTATATGAGTTCTCCTTGCTCCACTCCCTTAAAACTACACTTGGTATTGTCCATTTGGGGTTTTATTTTTAACCTGAGCCATTCTGGTTGATGGTTTTGTAATGGCTTCATTTTTAATATACTTTTCTAAAACTACTATGATTTTTCAGCCCTTTTTCATATGCTTATTAGCCATCCTCATTTTGTGAAGCACCTAATTCAAGATTCGAGCCCAAGTGCCTATTAAACACTCTTGCCTTTTTCTTTTTGATAGGAAGGGGTTCCTTACATCTTTTGGATATGAGCCTTTTTTTTTTTTTTGGTTATATGTGTTGCACACATATACTTGCCTTCACTCTCCTAATGGAATAGAATCTTCTGATGAACATAAATTCCTAATTTCAAGGTAGTCTAGCTTCTGAGTCTTTTATCTAAAACTGAGACTATTTGAGTCCTTTTTAAGCAATTATTTTCCTCCACAGGTCAAGAAGATATTCCCCAACTTTCTCTTTTAGAGCATAGGTCTTTTTCTGGAGTTTCTCCTCTGTTATATTGGTCTGTTTATTCTAGTACCAATATCAAACTAACTTACACTGCTGTAGCTCTAAAATAAAACTCAAGGGGCGCTTGGGTGGCTCAGTCAGTTAAATGTCAAACTCTTGATTTCAGCTCAGGTCATGATCTCAGAGTTGTGAGGCCAAGCCCGTATCAGGCTTGGCACTGGGTGTGGAGCCTGCTTAAGATTGCCTCTCCCAACTCTTAATCGTAGGAAACAAATTGAGGGCCACTGCAAAGGAGGGGAGTGAAGGGATGGGGTAGGTAGGTAGGTGATGGATATCAAGGAGGGCATGTGATGTAATGAGCACTGGGTATTACATAAGACTGATGAGTCACTGACATCTACCTCTGAAAACAATAATACATTATATGTACTACCCAGTAGAGTAAATCTTCCAACCATATCTTTGACTGCAGGATGGCTTAGGCTAATGTTAGCTCTTTACATTTCCATAAAAATTTAGAATCAGTTTGTCATTTCCCAGGAGGAAAATTTGGAATTTTATTTGCAATTGCATTGATTCTATAGATCAACTAAAGGAAAACTGACATTTTAAAAATATTGTCTTTTCTATCCTGTAAAGAAATGTATATAAACCTGTATGTACTTGTATTTTATTCAATGTCTTTCAAAATGTATGAGTTTCCTGCGTAGAGGTTTTGTACTTTTTTTTTGCACATTTTTATTAGCTTTAGCCCTAAGAATAAATGATACTTGCTTTAAAATTTATTTTTCATTTTCTGTTACTGTTGATTTTTATATTTTGAACTTATATTCAGCAATTTTAACTAATTCAATTATCTAATAATTTCTCTTTAGATTCTTCTAGATTTTCTAAATATACAATGTAAATATGTCATTCGTCAATAATGACATTTTTCTTTCTTCCTTTCCAAGCCTTATATACTTTATATATTTTTCATAGTTTCCTGTGTTGGCTAGCATCATCAGTACAATGTTGAATACAAATAAAGATAGCCGACTTTGTCTCATTTCCAATTTCAGAAGAAAAGTTCTCAACATTTCACCATTAAGTATGATGTTACATAGGTCTTTTGGAAGCTTCCTTTTTTTTTTTTTTAAGATTTTTTATTTATTCATTTGAGAGACAAAGAGAGAGCCCCAGTAGGAGGAGAGCCAGAGGGAGAGGGAAAAGCAGACCACCCCCTCCTCCAGCAAAGCTGGGAGCCTGATCATGACCCAAGCAGAAGGCAGACACCTAATCAACTGAGCCACCCAAAAAACCCTAGAAGGTTTCTTTTTTTTTGGGGGGGGGGTTAAAGATTTTATTTATTTATTCATGAAAGACACAGAGAGAGAGAGAGAGAGAGAGAGAGAGAGGCAGAGGGAGAAGCAGGCTCCATGCAAGGAGCCTGATGTGGGACTCGATCCCGGGTCTCCAGGATCACGCCCTGGGCCAAAGGCAGGCGCTAAACCATTGAGCCACCCAGGGATTCCCGAGCCCTGGAAGTTTATATCAGTAACAATGTTCCCTTTTATTCTCAGTTTGCTAGTTTTATCATGAATAAGTCCTGAATTTCATGAAATATTTTTCCTACATCTATTAGGACAATCATATGATTTTTTCATCTTTGTCATATAAACATTGCAGTACTAGAATGAACTTAACTTACTGTAATGTACTGCCTGATATCTGAATCACCAGATTTAATATATCAGTATTTGGATATCTGTACTCCTGAGTGGTCTATATTTTCTTTTCTCATAAAAGCTTTGGTTATCAAGGTTATCCTGAAAAAAGTTCTCTCTTTTTCTATGTTCTGCAAAAGTTTGCATAATACTGGCATTCTTTTTCAGTTTCTTTTGTTAAGATATTCACATACCATAAAACATCATTTAAAATTGTACAATCTGGTTGGTCACTTTTAGTACATACTCAGCATTGTGTAACTTTCTAATTCCAGAACTTTGGCATTATCCCAAAAAGAGACCCAGGCCCATTAATAGTCACTCCCCACCTTCCTCTCTCTCCAACCCTTGGAAACCACTAATCAACTTTGTCTCTACAGGTTAGCCAGTTCTGGACATTTGAAATAAACAGAATCATATAGAATACGGCCTCTTGTGGCTGGAATTTTTTACTTAATGTTTTCAAAGTTCATTCACCTAATAGTATATATCTATACTTCAGTAGTTTTTATGACTAAATAACTTCTTAAGTAAACACAGTTTTTATTCATTTATCAGTTGATGGATATTTGGCCTGTTTTCCACTTTTCCCCCCATTATGAATAACGTTGCTATGAACACTCATGTACAAGTTTCTCTATGAACATATGTTTCTAATTCTCTTGGGATTTACTAAGTTGTGGATTTACTAAGTCATATCATAACTCTAAATTTAACGTAAACTACCAAAACTTTTTCAACAAAAGTTACACCATTTTACATTCTGACTAGCAGTATATAGGCACATCTCATTTGATTGTGCTTTGTTTTATTGCAGTTAGGAGATGCCACGTTTTTTACAAATTGAAGGTTTGTGGCAATCCTGCATTGAACAAGTCTATCTGTATCATTTTAACAGTGTTTGCTCACTTCATGTCTCTGTGTTACATTTTGGTAATTCTTCTAATATTTCATTGAAACCTCAGATGGGGGATCCCTGGGTGGCTCAGCGGTTTGGCCCAGGGCGCAATCCTGGAGTCCCAGGAATTGAGTCCCGTGTCGGGCTCCCGGCATGGAGCCTGCTTCTCCCTCTGTGTCTCTACCTCTCTCTCTCTCTCTCTCTCTCTTTCTAATATAAATAAATAAATCTAAAAAAAAAAAAAGAAAGAAAGAAACTTCAGATGATTGTTAGCAATTCTTAGCAGTAAAGTATTTTTATTTAAGGCAAACACATTGTTTACTTAAACATGATGCTCCTGCACTTAGACTACAGTATAGTATAAATATAACTTTTATATGAACTGGGAAACCAAAAAATTCATTTGACTCACTTTATTGTGATATTTGCTTTATTGCGGTGGTTTGGAACTGAAGGATGTCCAAGATATGTCTATATGAAGGTTTAAATTATTCACATCCTCAGGAACACTTGCTATTTTCTAATTTGTTGAGTCTAGTCATCCTAATGAGTGTGAAAGTGGTATTACTGTTTTATCTGCATTTCCCTGATGACGAGAATTGATGAGCATATTTTCATGTACGTATTGGACATAGCATACCTTCTCTGAAGAAAGATGTATTCAAATCATTTGTTCCCCTCTCCCCCATTTTTCTAAGAGAGAGTGATGGGACAAGGACTCTTTTTAAGTAGGCTCCCAGACCAGAGCAGAGCCTGATGCAGGGCCTGAACTCACAACCCTGAGATCATAACTTGAGCTGAAATCAAGAGTCAGACACGTAACCAACTGAGCCACCCAAGCTCATATTTAACCTAGGTTATTTGTTCTTTATATTTTTGAGCTGCAAGAGTTCTTTATATATTCTGGATATTAGACTGTTATAAGATACGTGGCTCGAGGGATGCATGGGTGGCTCAGCGGTTGAGCATCTGCCTTTGGCTCAGGGTGTGATCCTGGTCCCAGGATCAAGTCCTATGTCAGGCTCCCTGCGAGGATACTGCTTCTCTCTGCCTGTGC